ACTTGTTTTGGGTTTGGTGGATTCCAAACTTGCTGAGCTTGTGTATCGATTGAATAGTCACTTCAATCATGGTCGAGCAACTACCATTCTATACCAATCGAGCGTTCCCTAGGTGTGGAATCATCCTTTTGGTTTCGTTTTATCCAAGTTCGTATTAAGAACGCTTTGTTCTTGATTCGAGCTCAATCGAATCTTCGATTGAGTCGTTAGCTGCGTGACTTTGATAATATACACCCCCAGGGACGTATTAATCTGATTACTCCTGTCCTCGATAATACCAGTCCTTTCTTCCGTCTCTTTCAAAACCACCACCATATTCCCGTCTTCATGTCTTTGGGTGTGTCTGTTTTGTTCTTTTTCCTCGGTCTGAACGTACTAAACTTACCTCGAAGATAGTTCGTTGTTTTCTTGGCTATAGTGACATCCATAAGGGCTATATGTGCTATGATCCTGCTGCACGTCGTGTTCGTATTGCCTATCATGTTGTGTTTCTTGAAAATCTAAGGTATCATTCTTCCTTGTTTGGTTCCGATTCAACCTTATTTGATCTATCCCTTGCTCCACCCTCCTTTCCGGATGATGATGATGATGATGATGTCGATGATGATGGGTTTATTGATCTCCCCGCCGATGGGCTACCCCCCGACTCCCCTCCCTCGACAGCACCATCTTCTCGCGACTCGTCCTATCCAGGTTCTTCAACGAGTGATGTCTCATCGACATCTCCACCTCCAGTGGAGCCCCCTCGTCGCTCACTCCGTTCAACTAAGGGTGTTCCTCCTGTTCGATATATGGATTACTTGGCCTACATTGTTGATCCTATTCCTGTTCCTACTCGTTATTCCCAGGCTAAGGGACATCTTGAGTGGGATAATGCTATGACAGAGGAGATTGACGCACTCCATGCTAATCACACGTGGGACATGGTTCCTCGTCCCCCGCCCTCTATTCCGGTTATTGGCTCTAGATGGGTGTATGCTATTAAGGTTCGTCCGGATGGTACTCTTGAGCGGTTCAAAGCCAGGGTGGTGGCCCAAGACTTCTGTCAGGAATATGGGATTGATTTTGTGGAGAATTTTGCTCCAGTGGCGAAGATGGTTACTATTCGTACTCTGCTGGCTGTTGCTTCCCTTAGTGGATGGCCCCTTTTTGAGCTCGATGTTAAAATGTCTTCTTGCATGGGGAGCTCAAAGAAACTGTGTACATGGAGTCGCCTCTTGGGTACGCTCATGGTAACTCTGATCAGGTTTGTCTACTTCGCCGCTCTCTCCATGGCTTGAAACAAGCTCCTCGTGCCTAGTTCGATAAATTTCACTCTACTATCACTAATCTGGGATTCGAGCAGAGTCTTAATGACCAATCGATGTTTACCTATCGCACGCCCAGGGGTCGTGTGGTTCTCTTGTTATTTGTCGATGATATGATTGTTACTGGTGATGATGCTCTAGGGATTGAGGCCCTTACTAAAGGTCTTCATGATTCTTTTAGTCTTAAGGAACTCGGGTTTGTCTCATATTTTTTGGGATGGAGGTGACGCGCAGTAAGGCTGGAGTTTTATTGAGCCAGGGCAAATATATAGATGATCTATTAGAGACAACTCGCTTTAGTGACTGTACTTCAGTTTCTACACCTATGGAGCATGGTTTAAAGCTTGGTCGTGAGTGTGGGGAGCCTTTATCGGACGGGGGCAAGCACTACAGGAGTGTTGTTTGCAGTTTGATATACTTAACATCGACTCACCCTGACATCGCATATGTAGTCCAGATCCCCAGCCAGTTTATGTCGGCTCCTCGTACTGATCACTTAGCTGCTGTCCATCGCATTCTCCCTTACGTGAAGGGGACGCGAAAGCTTGGTATGTTTCTTCCCTCATCTGGCTCGCTTGTTTTGCAGGCATTCTCCGACTCTGACTATGCAGGTTGTGTCGATACTCGTCGTTCCACTACGGGTTGGTGCATTCGCTTGGGAGAGTCTTTTGCCTCCTGGCGGTATAAGAAACAAGACCAGGTTTCAAAATCTTCCACCGAGACGGAATATCGTGCTATGTCCGAAGTTGCATCGGAACTTGTGTGGCTTCGTCGCTTACTTGGGGATATAGGAGTGGATTGTGCTCTTCCTCTCCAGCTACATGTTGATAACACTAGTGCTATTCAGATTGCGACTAACCCAGTACTTCATGTTCGTATGAAGCACATTGAGGTTCATCTTCATTACTTTCAAGACTTGGTTCGTGATGGTATTCTTCGGCTTTTCTATATCACATCAGAGGACCAGATTGCCGACCTTCTCACCAAGTCTTTCTCGGCTGAATGTCATTTCTTTCTTTCTCGCAAATTGATGATGAGAGATCCTCATCAATTTGGCGGAGGCTATTGAGTGTAATTGGGCCTCAGCCCACCCATATCTCGACAGTATGGGTTTCCTAGGGCTAGCCGAGTTTACTCTAGGGTTTTCACCCTAGTTTGTATATATATCGATGTAATGGAACCTATTGAAGCTAAGCTGAATAAGAGATACAAATAGCTTCGGCCGTGGACTAGTCTCGTTCATCCTGAACGAGGAAACCAAATAACTCTGTGTGTCACTTTACATATCTGTTTCGATATTTCCATTTCGATTAACACTGTTGGTGTAGGCATCGCGCTTTGAAATCGATCGAGTTGTTCAATGAAACACCCGAACTTGGTGATCCGATCAACCTCCATATGTCGTATTAGACATAGCTATGATTATCTTTTGATGTACGCATCTACTCTTGAATTAGGTCGGCCTGTGAAAGAGCTCGATCGACCTTTGTTACAGACTTCAAATTATCACGATTTGGAGTTTTAACAAAGTCACAATATGCTTATCCTCTTTTTTGAAACTGGAACCAAGAACGGAGAGAAAAAACATGCATGTAAGTTGGGACAAATCTCTTGAAGGTTTTGGAGAGAGAGGGGAATATATTTGCTCATATTCAAGCTATAACTCAATGGAGGTGGGGAGGAACTGAAATTTGGTTCCATTATTTCTCATCGTCAAGTGTGAAATGGAGCAGTACAGAGCATAGGAAGAGACAAAGACGGAATTTAAATTATTTTATCATGTATCATCTTGTTACCACTTTCACAATTAAATTGGTTTAGTTTAATAGCACAGGAAACTTGGTAAATTGAAATAGGAATGATAATGGGCAGATCGGAACGGATATGTCGATACCCATACTCATTCCATGGTAGGTCGGATAATTTATCATAAGCTGCATGTTGGGATAGATTTGTTCTTATGAGTATGTATACAAAACAGCAAAAAATACAACTTTCTGCAGAATACATAAATTTTATAAATCTAAACTCTCTAAATCACTCCAAAGTTGATTGTCTACTCTGAATCAAATCAGAGCAACTTCCATTATACATGCCGAGCCATTTCTCATAGCTGGGAATCGATGTAGAAAAACAAGTGGTCCAAGGCTGCAACACCATCCAGCGGCCAAGAAAAGTACATTGTCTCTGATCAGCAACGAGCTCCAATTTCTCTGTCCTTAAATTGCATGTAAACACAAGAGTCTTTTTGATGTCTTTGAAAAACGGCTCTCCCCAACAATAGAGCTGAATTTTCTGTTGAGATTTTAAGGATCAAGTTAGGAGATTGCCAGATCACCAATCAAGGAGGAGCAGATCAATCAATCACGAAACAAGGGCCAGCTGCTCAACTTATCCTTTCTGCATCAATTTCAAACCACAACGGCTCCTTCAAAGACTATTTAAAGGAGCAGCAGGGGAAGGCCTCGGCACTGAAGCAAACAGGGATTCCTTTGTGGCAAAGGACAAGGGGTTGGGTTCGGGAATCAGTGGCTTTGATTCAAGCTGAGGAATAGGTTCAGCTTGATCAAAGGGTGTATAGAATTCCTGCGAGAATTCTGGTCCTAGTCTAGTGACATTTTGATTTTCTCACCAGAGTCTGTAGTTCAGTTGTTCTGTTCTTGTTGTTTGCGTTATAAAAAGAAAATCAAAGTATCTCTCAGGATAGTGGTACTATCCTGGGACGAGGAGTAGCCCTGTGGCGAATCTCGTTAAAAATCGATTGTGTACTTTATTTTCTGCACCTTCCTTCTCCTCTCTTCCTCCCCTGTTCTGTTTCTCTCTGCCTGAACAGAGTCTTGGCTCTATGAAGAAGATGATCGACTCTGTTCCTTCTTCACTGAGCTTGGGCCGAGACTAGTTCAAGTTCCGGATCGGTATTCTTGGATCTGTGGGCTTGTTCTAGCAAAGCCCATTTGTGTAACTCCTGTAGGTTGAGGCCTGACCGAGAGCTTGAAAACGGTTCGATTGCTTAATTGACTCTTTAGTCAAAATCCCTAATCGCTTATTCTCATTTCATTTCTTTCATTCGGCATTTCCTCTTTCACTCGATCTTTCTCTGTTCACATTTCCGTCTCTTTGAAATCCATGGGTTTGCAGTAACATTCCAGGAACAAAATCTCCGGCTGCTTCGAATGCTGAGCGAGCACAGAAACAATTTCCAGCTCCTTAACTTCGGGCCCGCCGCCGTTGCGCTTTAGCTTCTCCAACAACACTTCATAGCACAGAATCCATGTCTTGCGGCCACCTTCCCACCTCCAAACCACAAAAACATCTTCGTCATCGGCCTCACCGTAGTCGGGTCGATGGTGTTCAACTATATAAAGAGCAACCCATGAGGCCGATAACTGGGAAAACTGATGCTGCCTGCCAACGACTTCCATATTACATATGGTGATCGGTTTTTTATTTGGGAGGAAAGCATCAAACCTCTCAATTTCTCTGCCGTATTTGATCCAATACAATTTCCCGTCCCAAGACGTCGTGTCGGATGGAAGACGATAATTCACTACTTTTCTCGACCATTTTCCGGACTCAGAACAAAACACGTTTAGCTCTGAACCCCATTCATACACCGGATCCCCTTCGTATCGAACCAGAACGGGAAATCGATAGTCGGAGTACATAAATACTTGTCCATCACCCAGATCCAAACTATTTGCATTTTGAAATTCTCGACAGATCAATTTCGCTTCCTTCGTTATGTTGGAAGTCGTCGTTTCGGGCTCCAGAGAAAGGGCGACCCATTGATTCGTAAATGGATTGCAGATCAAGAGCGATCGGGCCCTTTCGTGATGGTAGTCCCACACCGAATTCTGAAAACCGCATAGAAGCAAGTCCTTGAAGGAATCCCAAACGACGAAATTGGATCGGAATTCGTCGGGTACGGGGAGGAAGCTTAGGAGCGAAGGCAGGGGATCGTCCTTGCAGAGGAGCAGAGGTGGCTGCATGCCTTTGTTTCTGCTTCTGTGGTGAGAAAACGAAACCGCGGTTGAAGCCGGCGTGGGAGATGAGGGAGTTCCATCGCTTGCATACTGGTTTGCTTCGGCCGGCGGATCTGGGATTTGGGAAGCTGCGAATAAGAATTTTTTCGAGGAGATCGTCTCCTAGTTTGCTGATGGGAGGAGTGTCTGCCGCCATTGAACCAATATCTATCTGCTGCCTTGTGAAAACAGACTCGACCGCGATAGGGATACAAGGACGACCCTTTTTTATTTATAGTCCTAATAAACCCTAAACCCTATTTAAAACAAACTTACTTTCGTGGTCGATAATTGTTCCAGCTTTTCCTTTTCCGCTAAATACATGGATCTTTCCCTTTAATCCATGCATTCAAGGCTTTCTACCCGTAGTAAGGAGTGTATAACCATACAGTAAATTTTACCACAAAAATTGGTGGTATTTTGTACAAAAATTATGGTTTAACCATGGTTATGTTTAACCGTTTATACCTCTTAAACAGCAGTTCACTCAAGGTTTAACTCTAACCTCATTCAACTATGCAGCAACATTGTTACTTATGGCATGTGTAGTTGTTCGATTCGCAACTTATTCATGAATCTTTTGGTGGGTTGATTCGATGGTCCAGTTCCTCTAGAGTAATAGAATTTGTTTTTTGATGAGTCAGTTATTGTTTTGTTTGATTACGGCTTAATTGCATGTTTGGTCACTAGGTTTACTAAAAAGGTTTATGTTTAGTCATTGAAAATATTTAATTTCAATGCTTGTCACTCAAATAAGTAAAACGATCCATGTTTGGTCACTCTCCATTAGTCGTCTTCCAATTCTGTTAATTAAGTTGGTTATGTGCAGACGTGGTAAACAGAATTGCCTACTCAACCTGGTTTAATCCGTAAAATAGTAAACCCAACCCGCCATGTCAGCCTGTCCAACCCAACTTGACCCAGCTCTCCATCTTCTTCCCTCGACCCTTCTCTACTACCTTGATTCCCTAAACTCCGCCATCTATACTTTCCCTTTTGATTGTTTTATAACTCTTACAATTGACCTCCCTCTTCTTATGGAACTCTACCTTGTAATCCTCTGCCTCCTCTGTTGTTTTGCTAAGCTGCTCCCTTTATTTCTTCTCCTTCTCCTCCAATCGCAAGGCCTTCTCCCTGTGCACACAAACAACGGAATGAAAGGACAGCTCCTTTCCTTCTCCTTCGCCCACAATATTCCCGCCCAGAGAACACATGAGGATTCTGAGCTTTAATTGTGTGATTTTGTCGTCGCCGTCCTGTCGTCTCTAGCTTTCTCGACGGCCAGCGACTTTGGGCTTCAGTTTCTGGATCTGAAATCGAAGCGACGCCTGGTGTGGGACGCGGCACTGGAACGAGCGACTGCTGCCGGCTGACCCCTGCCGCGGTGGAGTGTTTCTGGGTATGGGATCTGACCCGACGGAGAGTGGGAGATTGACTCTACGTCCGCTTTTGACTGCCGACGGGTTTTGGATCTGGGATAGGGATGAGATTTGGGGTTTGAAGTAGTTCTTCTACTTCTAGCGAATGATGGTCTGAATGATGGAAAGAGGTGGGTTTCAATTAATGGTTGGGGGAGGCGATTGGTTTTTTCGGTTGAGATTGCTAGAGAAGGGTTAAGGGAAGAAGATGGAGAGTTGGGTCGGATTGGGTTAGGTTCAATGGTTGGGTTGGTCAGGCTGACATGGGCAGGTTGGGTTTTTTATTTTGGGAGTTAAACAATATTGATTAGGCAATTATGTTTGCCATGTTAGCACATAACAAACTTTATTAACAGAGTTAGACGGAGAGTAACAGAGAGTGACCAAACACAAATCGTTTTACTAATTTGAGTGACCATCATTGGAACTAAATATTTCGAGTGACTAAACATGAGCCTTTTTAGTAAACTCGGTGACCAAACATGCAATTAACCTGTTTGATTACCTATAATAAAAGTCATAAGAGAGTACTAGATATTGGCCCGGCTTGTTGGCCGGAGACTTCGATGGTGGTTATTGAATAAAGTTGTATATACTTTCTTGTAATTGGTTTATTTATGTTGAGCTTACAATATGTCGTTATATCGTAGGAATGGCATGGGGCAGGTCCGGGCCAGGTATCTCGATACTCATACCCGCCCCATGGCAGATCGGGTCCATGTCGGGTAATTTATTACGGGGCGCGGGTCGTGGCAGGTCGACCCAATGAGTATGTAATTTATGTAAAAAAAACATTAGAAATATTAGTTATTCTCATTAAAAGACCAAGAAAGAAACCATAATATGATAAAATCTAGTTAAATTATTGAAGAAATTGAGGTTTTCACTTAATTACAACTTTATTATAGCTAAAATATAATGTAATAAGAGGAGAATCCTAAGTAATTTGACTAAGATTATATGTAATTTAGACAAGAACGGGTCGAGAATGGGGGCAGGTCGGGTCGATGAGAGATACCCATGCCCGCCCCGCCCCAAAAATAGGCCAAACAGGTCGGGTAAATCAGGTCAGGTCGAAATTGTCATCCTAATTTGTAGTAGTTATTGTCACTGTATTAGAAATTTTGACAAAGCTGATCATTTAGTGACATAAAAGCCTCTCTTCTTGTCGGATTAATTAGCTAGTGACTGACGCATTTGATTGTTTCATCTAAAGTTTATTGTGTTGTATTCTTTTGATAGGTAACCACAGTAAAAAAAATTACTTGTAGTTAGCCGAATTATTTAGGCAAGTACTCAAACTATTCTTAGTGTGCTTAAAATATAAAAATATAAAAAAAAGGCAAAATACACCTGTATAGCCATAACTTTTACGTTTGTGACAAATATAGCCATAATTATTCGAAAACACAAAATAGCCATTTCCGTCCATCCTTTTAACGGTGTCATCTAACATGCTGACTAGACTAACGGAAAAGCTGACGTGGAGACATTTCATCAATAACCATTCCACGTGGATATATGAATGGAAAAAAATCAAAAATAAAAAATTTAATGAAACCCATCTCAATTTCTTCCAATCTTCGTGCACTACTCACTCTGCCCATCTTCGTCTTCTTCCTTCCTTCCACATTGCCATTTTTTTGAAACCAAATTTCAATCCAAAACCCTAATCAACTCCAAACCCTAATCAACTCCAAACCCATCTCAGCTGCCGTAAATCCGCCACCCTCTAAACCCCTAACTCCTCACACCGCAGAGAAGAAGTTGGTCCCTCACAGCGGAGCTTCTCCTTTCACACCCGAGACAGAGTCTCGCCACCGTCGGTGGAGCCAAGATACGCCGAGGTTGAGTCGTCTCCTCGCTGCTACTCCAAGAAGCCCCCTGAACGCGAGCTTCCAGTTCATCAATGGTGCTTGCGGGAAGAAGAAGCGGAGGAAACGAAAATCTAATAGATCTATCAAACCACCGCCGCCGCCAACGAAAAGAATCCCCTGAGCCCAACATCGCCGAGCTCCACGAAGTGATGGCGAGCAACGAGCAAGTCAAAGATCAAAATCGCCATGGAACTCGTCCGCGACGGCGATATTTTCTCCAAGATCGAGAGAGGTTGTTTGAGAGATGAAGTGTGTACTTCCAGCAACCCATCTCTACTCTGCCGCTCTTCTATTCTCTCGCTATGGCGATTTTTCAGCTTCCTCCCGCAAGAACCCTACAGTCGCTGGGTTTCTCCTTCCTGTGGAAGAAGACAGGGCGGGGTATGGTGGAGAAGAAGAAGGCTCGTGGAGGAGTTGCAGTTGTCGCCGCCGCTGGGAAACGTGGATTTTGAAGACGATTGTTGCTGGGAAAGGGATTTTTGAGAGCTTCTTCTCACCACGCAGCAGCTCGATCAACCTCTCTACAAGGTCGATCCCTCTTCAAAATTTCTCCTTTCAATTCGTCTCTTTTTTATTTGGGTTTGCTAGCTCTTTCCTTGTGGGGTTATTTGCTGAATCAATTTCATGGGCAACTAGATCCTCCTCCAGGGATTCAAACAGAAGAGGTAGGAGAATGGAAAGAAGAAAAGAAAGGGAAATGGATTCTGTTGGTGGGATTTCTTCAATTGGATTTTGTTGGTGGGAGATCAGAGGAAGGATAATGGAAAGAACGAAAAGAAAGGGGCAAGGAAGGGGAAAATTAAAATATTATTTATTTTTTAATTTTATAATTAATTAATTTTATAATTCAAAATGACATGGCATTGATTTGATGACTGGTTGCTGACGTGTCCGACGATTTGGCATCCTAGTCAGCCTAACGTTAATCTAACTGACGAAGTTTCTAACACCGTTAAAGTTTCTAACGGATTTGGCTAGATTTGTCACACTACCCTCAGTTTTTTGGGTTATTTTTGGTTTTCGAATAGTTATGGCTATATTTGTCACAAACGTGAAAGTTATGACTATACAAGTGTATTTTGCCTAAAAATAAGGACTCAAATAATTTAATAGTGAAACATTGTCTTTTGTGCAAGATAACAATAAACCTTCTGAAATATAATTAAGAGCCATTTTTCATTAAAGTTAACGTCAAAATTGATAAAATCATACTTAGGTCCAGGTATCTGCACACCTTATTTATCACACAATTAATTATAATGTTATTTATTTATTTAATTTTAAAACATAAAAAATAGAAGATGAAAAGGAAGATGAAGAGTATTATTGGAAGTAGGAGTTTACGTGGATGATAAGGAGGAAAAATATTAATCGTCAAAGGAGATAAAAGAGGATGGATGTCTATTGTTGTGTTTAGTTATTTTAAAATCTTACTTATTCTTTATGTTACAAATGAAACATGTTTTTTAAAGAACAAATGAAACATGTTAATTGTTTGGTAATTGTAAATCGAGGTGTCGTGCCTAGACCTAAGTATGGCTCTATTAACTCTTACGTCGATTTTAAAAGGTTTGACTATATTTTGAAAAAACAACACTAAAAGGTTTGGTTATTAAATTGTTTGTCCTAAAAAAATAAATGACTAACAAAGTAAGGCAAAACAAAGTATAACTTAAATTAAAGTCAATGAAAAAAACATAAGAGTTGCTTTTCAATGATACATATACAATCAATTTTCACCATAAAAAATGTCATCGTCAAAAGCCTGGACTTAAGATCTCTAAGTATGGTAATGCCTTAAAACAATTCGTCTTTTTTTTATCAGTTTAAAAAACAAATCGTCTTTGATGTCTTTTAAATTGGGGGGGGGGGGGGGGGTACTTGGTCAATTCCTTAAGTTGTAAGCTCACGAAATCAATCTGCCTACAGTTACACTCACCTTGATGATATTAAAGTTCAAACAATTGAAACTAAAAACAAAATATTACCAAGATGTTATGATTCGATGATAGTAAAAATCACAATGACAAAAAGGACATATGTTTTCAATGATGCACCAAGAGAAAAGCTTAATAGGAGAGAACAAAATTGTCACAATCCTAAAGGGCCTAAATTATCAGGCTAAAATCCTCGAATTGTGGACCATGGTCAATCTTCTCATAAACTATGGTTATCAATTTTGCCGTCTCAAAGTTTCCCATGGTCGATTTTGAAAGAAAAAGTCTTCCAATATGATGAGTCATTCTCTTGAGAAGATTTATCATTCATAGAAAGATAGAGAGAAATAGAGAATTGAAAATGGCAGAGTCCTTCTCTAAACTCCACCCATCAGGCCATGGAAGAATCAAAATTGTCATTCCCAAATCCTAGACCTATGAACCTCACTAATCCTTAACTCTGAATTATGCTATCATTAGCTTCTGAAACTGAAAAGAAAATGCATATGATCAAGCACCCATGTCCCAAATGGGAAGAGTAAAAACTCATGACCTTAGATGATAACAAAATAGTTTTAAACATGTGATTTCATGTTCTTAATGTTAAAGTTTTGGAAAATAAATGTATGAGCTACACTACTGTGATCCGTATGCTGAGAGGATTGGGGCTTTCTTTGTAGCTCTATGTCAAGAACCAGTTGATCCCAATAACTCGAGTTTTTGGGAAAGGTTCAATCGTGGATCATATACCACAACACTAACACGCCCCCTCAAACGAAAGCCACTCGCAAGGGCTTGAAGTTTGCACAGGTCTGAAGACAAGAATACGATATGCTTAACATATGGGGGTCACCGGGAATCGAACACAAGACCTCTCGGTCACAGAAAGCTCTGATACCATGTCAAGAACCAGTTGATCCCAATAACTCGAGTTTTTGGGAAAGGTTCAATCGTGGATCATATACCACAACACTAACACTCTATATATGACATACCTTCCATCAATCTATCGCTTTGTAGTTGGGGCTGGGGCGCAGGGCGCAACAGTTCATGAGTCTGGATATATGATCTGACATAACTCTCAATCCACCACAACACTGTAACGGGATAAGGTACACATTCCAATTGCAAAGTTCTGGTTGATTTGATTCAAAGCTCCGCGTAAAGGAATCTCGATGCACCGTTAGAATCCAACCCAGAGTATTTTATGAGGAAAGGTAGTAGGGCACAACAACATAAAAATCAAAATAAAAATGATGCATCACCCTAAACAAAGAAATTGAACTACTAAACAAAATGTAAGTGCCACCACATCTGAAAATCTATACTGATAAAAACAAAAAGCAAAGCAAGCTTTAACTAATGGGAAAGTGACAGTAAACAGAGGTATGGAAAAGAAAGAGAAAATTCATCAAAATAAAACACAACAAATTTGGAATATGAAATCAAATCAATTGGAAATATTGTTTCTAGCTATCTATACAGTCATATTCTCATCAGACCCCTCAAAGTAAATGAGTTGAGGGTGGGCTATTTAAGATGGAAACACAGGGTTAAATATTATGGTTGTGCACAACTCGGACGGTATGGATTGAGAGAAGTTGGGTGAGCTAGGAAGGTTGGGTAGATTCAGATGATGAGGCGAAGAATAATTGAGAAGCTCCAACTGAAGATTGAGGTTAAAACTTAAGACCTGCGGTAACAATTTTGCTTTCGGTGTTTAGGGATTCATCGAGAGAAGAGGAAAGTAGGTGGGTAGAAAAAGGAAGAAAATGAAACTATAGTAGTCCAGATGCGTATAAGTCAAAACGCAGTGTGGAATTTAATTTTGGCAATTCCCTTCAATGCCCTTCCGGGAAACACTCCCAGGGCTGCAATTTTGAAATGAAGAGTTTCGGATGCTTTAAAACGTATTATATACTAGCTTATAATCGGCCGGCCCGTTGGCCGGAATGTTCATATTTTAATATTTATATTTTATGTTATGTTTAAGTCTATTAATTTGTTTAACTTTATTGAAATCTACATAACGAATGAATTCATGAGTTAGAGGAAGGCAACAAAGTGGTCTCAAAGTGGTACCAGAATAGTTGGGACCTCTAAAAAGTGGACACTTAATGCTAGAGAGAATGCTCTGTAACGACCCCGGCGGATCCAACTCTCCGGCGAACCCAGCAACTGCTGGACGTCCGCCGGACCCAAATCTGACCTCGCCGGCGTCCCAAGCCCTCCCTGTAGCGAATCCTGCGAGCTTCCCTCCACTGAATTTCAAATCAGCGCTTACTGGCCCTGTTCAAGAAGTTGCGTCGAAGATCAATCAATGGACCTTTGTCGGCCAGCACGACCTGGAACCTGGCCTATACGGCGGCGAACCGGAACTCAAAGTGTCCGGCCAGTTCAAGGAACGGCTTTGCCAACCGTGGAGTAAAACCCTGGTGGTCAGGCTCCTCGGACGATCGGTTTCGTACAAGTATCTGTGTTCCCAGCTCCGATGGAAATGGCGCCCGGTGGGTAGATTGGATATAGTAGACCTCAACAACAAAACCTTCCTTGTCTCCTTTCACAACGATCAAGACCTCCTCAATGCTCTCACTGGCGGGCCCTGGACAATCCTCGATCACTACCTCGTAGTCTAAAAATGGTCGCCCTCGTTCCGTACCTCAGACAAGCCGCATCGGTCGGTGGTAGCATGGATACAATTACCTGAGCTTTCGGTCCATTTCTATCACCGTGAGGTTCTCTTTGCTCTGGGGAACCTAATTGGTCGGACTGTCAAACTTGACTACCACACGGAGAATCTGGAGCGGGGGAAATTCGCTCGCATCCCGGTGGAGCTGGACATGACGAAGCCACTGGCCACGCGCATCCGCCTCGATGGATTCTGGCAACCGGTCCTATATGAAAACTTGCCGGAAATCTGTTTTGACTGCGGCAGGATTGTGCATACTGAGGACTCCTGTCCAAAGAAGGTGTGTGCGTCAATCACTGTCCCAACGGCAACGCCTAGTGCTAATACCCCCACCCCGATGGTGATGCCGGCACCGGAGCCGTCCGTCGGTAACGGCCCCTGGATGCAAGTGACCCGGAAGAGCAAAAAACAAAATAGGAAAGTGGCGCAGAAACCGGCCTCAGTCCAGGGATCCGATCCAAATCAAAGTGTTATTCAGGGAAAGATGACTGGAAAAGTTCCTCAATCTGGGAAGGGGGATCAAAATAGAGCCTCCTATGGAAAGAACGGAAAAGGAAATATTGCGCAGAAAATAGAGGAAAGAAAGGGGAATCCCAGTACCTCAAAGGGGAAAGGCAACGGTCCACCGAGCGGCAAATCAGGAACGACATCTCAAGAGTGGCGGATTGCTGGTGGTAAAGGCCCATCGCGAACGGCCCAAGCCCACCCTGAAACAGCGACCTCTAACCAACAAGCTGGGACCAGCCCAATGACGCCGACCATGAGCCCAAATCCACTCCCAAACTCAGATGCCTCCCCGCAGGCGAAGCCAATTATCCCAATCCCCCTCCCCTTTCCAACAACGACCAAAGAAAATTCCGACCCCAACCTGTTGAGTGTTTCGATTCATGACCATTATCCTAAGAAGAAGTCCCCGCAAGCACCATGAAAGGAAGCTAAGATGGGAATCCAAAAGGATCCTTCCAAGAGATTGATGAATTGCTTCTCTAGCTTGGCCAAAGATAAGCTGCAGGAATTTGTGAAAAAATCAGGGCTCCCGCTAAACCCTCAAGCCATTGCGGAGTTCATGATGAGCAGCTCACGGAAGCCAGAGGACGCCCGGACGCCGTTGGGCGAGCTCAGAAATGATGCAACGATGATGGACCCGGAGTTTAGCACTTCTTCGACTTCCTGTGCTAGCGCCGACAGGCTGCAGCCAACCGATAATCCTTAGCGCTGCTGCGCCTCTCTTGACTCTCTCTTTTTATTTTTAATGATTAGCCTTTTTACTTGGAATTGTTGGGGGGCTAAGAACCCCAAATTTCTCGCTGTTTTTAAGGATTATATGCGTATCCATCGTCCGAACCTTGTCTTCATTGTTGAGCCACGAATTAGCGGCAAGGAAGCACTGGAGGTCATTCGTAAGATGGGTTTTGATAAATATGAGATGGTTGAAGCTGTGGGGTTCTCTGGGGGCATATGTGTTCTCTGGAATTCTTCAGTTCTCAATATCTCTGTTTTGGATAGAAATGCTCAAATGTTGCATTTTCGTTGTGTCAATTTGCAGGATAATCAAGAGGCCCTGTTCACTGCCATTTACGCCAAACCCAACGAGCATGACAGACTCCCGCTTTGGGACGCAATTCGGCGACTGGAACAAACTATATCTGAACCATGGTTGCCGGCCGGTGATTTCAACTCCATTAGGTGTCCGTCGGATAAGCAGGGCGGTGCAGCTTACAACCCAGCTAGAGCAGAAAGTTTCAACAGATGCATAAATGATTGTGGTTTGATTGACATTGAGTTCTCAGGGCCAAAGTTCACTTGGGTTAAGGGCAGCCTTCACCAAAGATTTGATCGTGCCCTGTGTAATGAGGAGTGGCTGAAGCTGTTCCCTGACACAGTCAATCACCACCTTCCTCGTCTTCGCTCGGATCACAGGCCCTTACTGATCGTGGCTGCCAGGGATAGCAGCGGCAAGAAAAACAAGAGACCCTTTCGTTTTCTTGCTCCTTGGTTGGCCCACTAGGATTTCCATCCCACTATAGACAGATCGTGGAAGGCGGGAGGAGATTTTCTTGAGTCTCTTAATGAGCTCCAGCACACTCTTTCTAAGTGGAACAGGGAGGTTTTCGGTAACATATTCAGAAGGAAAGAGGAGCTGACCAGATGCCTTGCTGATGCTGAAGCACGGAATGATATTAGCCCGGATCTCCTCTCTCTTCAACAGGAAGCTAATCTTAGAGAGGAACTGGAAAATACGCTTTGGCAAGAAGAGCTCCTCTGGATGCAAAAGGCTAGGGCCACTTCGATCACCCACGGGGATAAGAACAATACATATTTCCATACTGTAGCTCTCACAAGGCGGCGGAGGAACAAGGTAACCAAGCTTCAAGATGGTAATGGTACCTGGATCGAAGATGCCCAAGCTTTGGAAGACATGGCCAGGAATTTCTACATTCACCTATTCACTGAAGACACTGCCATTAGGCCGCAAGTTGCAGCCAATTTTCCAGCCCTTGAAGAGGTTCTTGTCCGCAGCCTAGCAGCTGTTCCTACTCTTGATGAAACCCGAGGAATCGTCAGGACAATGGGTGGACTCAAAGCACCCGGCAAGGACGGTTTCCATGAGATTTTCTATCAGAACTGCTGGTCGTCTATAGGAAATGATTTCTATCAACACCTTGTTCGCTGCTTTAGTGAGCCGGACCACATCGCCCGTTGTAACACAACCCTTTTGACCTTGCTGCCGAAGTGTGATTCTCCAAGGTCAATGGGGCAATTTCGTCCTATCGGGCTCTGCAATGTCAGCTATAAGGTCGTGGAAAAATGTCTGGCAGATCGTCTGAAGAACCTTATGCCTCGTTTGATTGACAAAAACCAGACCAGCTTCGTTCCTAAGAGACACATCACAGACAACATCATTATCCTCCAGGAAGTGGTTCACTCTCTCAATCAGCTGAAGGGTGCTCGGGGCAGTATGATCCTGAAGATCGATTTGGCCAAAGCCTGCGACAGGATCAACTGGGAGTTCTTGCAATCCACTCTTGTAGCAGCCAGTCTCCCAATGGATTTCATAAATCTGATCATGGGCTGTGTAACCACTTCAAGTTTTGAGGTTCTCTGGAATGGGAGCTGTACGGATTCTTTCAAGCCCTCTCGCGGGATCAGACAGGGATGTCCTCTTTCTCCCTACCTCTTTACTCTTTGCATTGAGCGTTTAAACCATTGTATCAAAGAGTCGGTTGATAATGGTCTCTGGAATCCTATTTATCTGTCTCAACAGGGACCGGCCCTCACCCATCTCTTTATTGCAGACGATCTAGTGCTCTTTGCCGACGCCGATATGAAACAGGGGAAGGCCATCATTGACTGCCTGGATAAGTTTTGTGCTGCTTCGGGGGAAGAAGTCAGTAAAGACAAATCTTGTGTTTATTTCTCTAAGAATACCAAGGATCGCACAAAGAGAAGAATTAGCAGGCTCTTAGGGATTAAGCAGACGAGCAACCTTGGGAGATATTTGGGAGTCCCAGTTGTGCACGGGCGTGTTACCAAGGACACCTACAAGTACATTCTGGAAAACTTGGATAAGAGGCTTTCAGGATGGAAAACACGGAGTCTCTCGCTCGCAGGAAGGGTTACTTTAGCCCTGTCAGTCCTGAATGCGCTCCCAAACTACGTGATGCAAACAGCGGTTCTGCCCTGCCACATATGCGATGTGATTGATAAAAAGATCCGGAGCTTTGTTTGGGGAGCAGAGGAAGGGTGCACTAAAGCCCACTTAGTGACATGGGAGACTGTCTGTAAGCCAAAAGAGGAGGGTGGTTTAGGCCTTCGTTCAGCCTGCGCTCTAAATCTGGCCTATATTATGAAGCTTTGCTGGAATTTCATTATTGATAATAGTGCTTTGTGGATTAGAATCTTTCAGGGCAAGTATATCAAGACGAATATTGATGGTACTGTCTCAATGAGGCACCAGAGAGTCTCGAGATTGTGGAAAGGAATGTTGGAGGCCTTCCCTCTCGTGAAGCAGGGAACCACTTGGGACATCCAAGATGGAGAAAGCGTGAAGTTTTGGTTGGACTCTTGGGTGGCGGATGGTGTGGTCCTGAGGGATTAGGCGAATGATCAAGACCCCAGCATGGACTGGGACATCTCAGTTGCTGACATGGCTGACGACTCAGGTCAGTGGATGTGGCCACGTTTCCAAAATCTCCTCCCTAACTCCACTGTTATGCTTATTGCAGGTACTGACCCGCCCAGAAGGGAGGCTGGAGAAGACCTGACGACGTGGGGGATGGAAGCTGACGGGAAGTTTCGGATAAAATCAGCCTACACCATCGCAGCAGAATGGCTTCGCAAGGATGACAATGAAGCTGCTCAAAACCAAGCTAGCCCCAAATGGAAACAAATATGGAAATGGGATGGCCCCCATCGCATAAGACACTTCCTGTGGCTTGCTTTCCATGGCCGACTAATGACGAATTGCGAGAGGAAGAGAAGGAAATTGTGTCAACAGGATACCTGTGATATTTGCAAAACAGCCCCGGAATCAACAGAGCACGTCCTCCGGCATTGTGCTTATGCTACACAGGTATGGCATGAACTTGGGGTCTCTGATAATAATTTAACTATCGGCCTTAACCTTCCAGATTGGATGGCGGAGCACCTGAAGAACGCGCAAATTGGACTGCTCTTCGGAGTCGGCGCTTGGTACCTCTGGAAAAGAAGAAATGAATGGGTCTTCGATCGCAAGCAACAAGACTCCTTAACTCTTGTCCAAAGAATTAGGAGCTGGACCAGCACTGTCCGCAACGCCCAAGAAAACAATGGAAAAATCCACACGACACAGCGTGCAAAGACGTCGACTGAGATTGCTTGGAACCCTCCCCCTCCAGACTGGATAGCGCTCAACACAGATGGTTCGGTCAAGCAACCTGATTCCTTGGCAGCAGCGGGGGGTCTTCTTCGGGATAACTCAGGTAGATGTCTGGGAGCGTTTGCATCCAATCTAGGAGCTTGCACAATCACGAGAGCTGAGTTGCTGGGGGCGATTCAAGGGCTCAAACTTGCATGGCAGCTAGGCTACCGCAAAGTACAGATGCGGACTGATTCCACGACTGTTATTTCCATTATGACTTCCCATACGACGTACGAAGGATGGTACCATAGTCTTTGGACCCGATTGCAGCAGCTTATCCAACAAGAATGGGAGATTGAGATCTCTCACACTTACCGCAAAGGCAACAAGTCAGCCGATTACCTCGCAAACAAAGGGCATTCTCTTAGTCTTGCCTATCATGTTATTGAGAGGGATGACCCGGGTCTCAACTTTTGGCTTTTGTATGACTCTATGGGCATTGCCCATTCTCGTTTAATCTAAAGTTTCAGGCAGGGGCGCCCTTTTAGCGTCCCATTTTTCTACAAAAAAAAAAAATACATAACGAATGAATATATAGGTCGAATATTCAGGAAAATACCATCCTCATTTAAGAATATAAAAATGTATCATTAATCTCATTTTCATAATAATAATAATAATTGAGCCCCCATTAAAATGATATTGGTTAATAGATTGTCCAGAAATATATAATATAAAAGCTCATTGGAATTCCCACACGATCCATAGATAGTTTGAAACTGAAATGAAACCTCACAATCCCACATAAATGGTTCAAAGCTCTCCTCTATGAATAACATGCTACTAATAAAAAAGAAATGGATTTATTAAAAAAAATGAAGAGTTGTTGATTCAAGTAAATCATATGTTAACAACTCTACTAAAAGGAGACCAACAAAACTTGAAAGCAAATGACAAAATTAGAGTTACATCCAATATACTAATAGACTCGATCAAAGTACTGAGGCACAAAATTAGACACTCCTTATCTACAGGTTCCAGTAGTTTGAATAGTGAATCGACCTTAATTTTAGTAAATCAATCAATGATTCCTCGTTTTAACATAAACATAGGTTGTGGTAGTTGCAACAACCATCACACCTAAAGATCCAATAGTTTCCACTCTCCGTTGTACAACCAACTTTTTATCCCCTCCATCTTCAATCTCTCGACGTATATGTTTTAAACCAAAATTCAATTTCTAATCCTCCTTCTGCAACTCCATTTATGCTACTTTGATGGACCTTCTCTCCATGAACCTGAATTTCTCTGTCAATTGAGTTTCTTGTCAGCTTGATCTCCAACTCCTCAATCCTCTTGAATCTCTCGTGGCAGTTTTAATAAGCTAACTCATCTTCAATTCCATCAATATGCTCTTCTCCTCCTTCTCTGCCTTCACCTGATCCATATCACTTACATGACCTTCAATACCCTCTCCATTTTCATTACTATCCTGATCATCTACCACTTCTCTCTCTTCAACTGCTCCGATTTTGCTTCTATGTCTTTCAATAACCTCCTTAGTTCAATCACTACCCTGACCAACTGCCTTTTCACTGCCTTCACTTGTTGCAAACTACTTCCATGACTTTTATACACCTTGGATCAGTTTTAAACTCTTTATGAACATCTCAATACCACAAAGTCTAAACCTAAATATTCTTTCAGTTAATCATGAACTTGAGTTTATCAAACTTTAATCCACTCCTTCTAAGTTGGAATTCTCATCCCTCAAACTCATTTTTTGTTCATTTGATCCCACATAACCATGCTATTATACCTCTAACGAAAATAAATCAAAGCATTTTACGAAAATAAACCAAACCATGAACTTTACCTGCTACCAAATCCAAACAACGAATCAGTTGCAGTGAAGTTACTGGTCATAGTAATGACAATGTGAAACAAGTGTCAACAAACGCGAATATGGGTTACTTTTATGGATTAACATTAGAATGATGAGATTGGACAATGAGATCGTTCTTAGTTAAGCGACATGTAAATTGGTCATTTGGTATGGAGGACATAAACCGTTAAAATTCTAAATTATTTGGGTGTGTTTGTATTTAGTGTTTTCAAAATCATGGTATATGAGTTAGATGATTAAAATATCTAAACCCAAACGAACCGACCCACACACACCCCTAGGAAGAGTTTCAAAACTAAGTATTTAACCGGACAAAAACTAAGTTTTCGAAATGACGATCGATCATCTCTCTTTTTTCTGTAGTTTCAATTCATCCATATATGGCCATTAGAGTAATAGCTAGCTAGTAGACAGCTTCTTCTGCCTCCTAATCTTGCTCCCGGGAACTAAAGGCAATTATTTATTTAGCCTTTATTACCCATAATCTCGCCATGAAGATTTTGAGTTGTTGATTTAGGAGTCTTGAAAATTTTGAACCATTTATTCCTTTTCTTTTTTCTCGGTAAGGTAATTACTAATTATCGATTTGCATTGGAACTTATCACCATGGCCAAATATATCCAAGCATTGAATAAATACAAGTCGTACAGCACACTAGTCACAACAATATAAAGCAAATCCACACGAAGAAAAAAAGATAACTACAAAGAGTCTAAACTAAGTAATGAAATCAAAATAAGGCAGACTGTGATTCCCAACTGCAATTGGCCACGACGGGGCTGGACAGCGCAAGTCTCGTTTTCTAAAAAATAAAGAAATTATGTTTTTTTATTTTTTAATGAATGTAATAATGAGGTGAAAAATATAAAAGTTTATTTTTTTTATTTTTAATAATTTTTTAGTTGCCACGTCACTAAGTTAACGGTCAACTTTTAGAGTTGACTGCCACATCAGCAAAACTTAACGGAATTGGACGGAGAGTGACCAAACATGAACGGTTTCAGTAAACTGAGGTACCACCAATGAATTTAAATATTTTGAGTGATCAAACTTGAACGCTTTTTGTAATCTAAGTGACCATTCATGCAATTAATTCCTATTCTTTTTATATAAAGAAAAGAGTAAGAAGTTCGCTGACATGGCTTACTTGTGAGAAAAATACCAAAAACGGAACGAATGCCGGCAAGCAAACAAAACACAGGCCGGGGGAATGTGGACTGAATTAGATGCGGCCTGGTCGATCGACCACACCAGACAGACAGAGAGAGTTGGATTTTCTTCCTTCTTCTACTCTACCATCCAATCTCTCAAAACTTGGTTAGATATGCCTCTGCCTCTTCTTCCCCTCCTCCCAATTTCGCATTTGCAGAGGAACCCTCTTCCTAAACCCACCTCAAAGCTGTAATTATAACCAATCAGCATAGGTAAAAGGAAAAGAATATGTTGGTGCTGCAGGATTGTTGCCGGAGCTCTGCCTCAGCTGGCAGCTCCGACCTCAGCCGTTTCTGCTCTGCTTCTCCTTCCACTTCTTCTTCTCCCTCCCAATTGGGCTTCTTCCTCCAGCATCCCAACATCAAACCCAAGCCTCCCCAGTTTTGTTTCAGACCCAGAAACCGCAGATGCAGCTCGATTTGCTTCAACTTGGTTGAAATCGAGGATATTGCTGTATCCCTCGCCCACAACAAGGTTCTTTCTTTCTTTCTTTCCTTTTTCTGTACTATTTCTCCGCTGTTTCTGTTATTGTTGGGTTGTCAGTATCGCTGAATGATTTCTTTCCTTCGCCCTTGTTGGCGAACCCTAGTAATGAAATTTGAGTTTGGGGAATTTGTTGGAAGGTGTTGGTTGCAGCTGGAGTATCGGCAGCGATAGGTCAGCTGTCCAAACCCTTCACTTCCGTGCTCCTTTACCGTAAAGGTAGCAGCTTTGATTTCAGGTCTGCCTTCCAGGCCGGCGGCTTCCCTTCTACCCATTCCTCTGTAAGTTTCTCCCTTTCTTCTATCTATTGATGGATACTTTGATTTTGTGCGATCTGATTGCCTGAACCAACCAACCGCTTCCCAATTGGACGCAGGCTGTTGTAGCTGCCGCTACTTGTCTCGCCCTTGAAAGGTTGACCCCTCCTTTCCTTTCCTTTCCTTTCCCGCCAATTACAGTTACAGTGATTGATTAGCATAGTTTATGCTTGTGGTTGCCGCAGCAGTGTAGGCTTCACCACCATCATTATCCAGTGATTAATTGGTTTTGTTTGTCGTTCTGTTTCTTAGGGGCTTCGCCGATTCGATTTTCGGGCTCACTGTGGTTTATGCTGGCCTCGTCATGTATGATGCACAGGCAAGTCAATTCCCTCAACCCAACCTTTCCTTTCCGTCTATACTCTATAGTGTTGTCTTTTGGGTATTGAACAGCGCCTCTGAACTTCAGTCCATGGACCTTAAGCAAACAGCAATGGATGTGTTACTACATGCAATGTGGCTGGATTCCTTGGTCATCGTGTGTGTGTGTGTGTGTGTGTGTGTTTGTCTCCAGGGTGTGAGAAGAGAAGTAGGTAGTCATGCAAAAGTGATAAACAGAGTACTGCTGCTGCCGCCTGACTTGAATAGTAAGCCCGATGACGACGAATGGCAGCAGAAGCAGAAACATAAGCAGAAGCAGAAGCAGGTGGTGACAGCTAGCACTAGTACTGCCAGGAGCAATCAATTACAGACAACAGCTACTACTCAAGCTCTACTATCCAATGATAGCAGTACTACTACTAAGGAGATCAGCACTATCTGCAATCCTCCTCTGAAAGAATCCATCGGCCACACTGAAATTGAAGTTGTAGGTGGTGCCATCCTTGGCTTCCTCGTTAGCATACTGGTTTTTGACATCCTGTCCTGACTCCAACTTGTTCATTTGCTTGTATTATGGGCCGTTTCTTTGTTCGATACATTGAATGGCTGATCCATTGGGGTATGTTAGCTTCTGGCTTAGGTATCATTGCCAAGTGGAAAGTAAGTAGAGCAACAATGGCTGCAAACATTATACATCAATGAGTGTTCATCTATCATTTTCCTTCAGTTTCGGATTTCGAACAAAACACGAGTAGTTTTCAAACGTATGACATCCATAGAGGTGTTACATACCAACACAGAACGCAGAAATGATATTCGGAATACATATACTGATACAGACTCGGCCATCACCCATATCCAGATTATTCATATTGCCGAGTTCCAAGGAATGTAGAAACCAAAAAAAAATCTCTCCAAACCTGTGAGTGCTTGAGATCTAATGAGTCTTAAACAAAGTCAACTAATTTGATTTCCTATGCTGGAACAAAACAACATTATGTTCCATGCTAACTACCTAGCAATTTTTCATAGCTAGGAATTGGTGTAAAGAAGCAAGTGCTCCTTGGTTGAACAGAACACGTGCTGTTCTGGGTACGTCTCCGTTGTCTCCAACTTCTCATAGGTAAGCAGAACGCAGAATCGATACTCAGAATACTTGTACGCTTCGTCGTCGCCGAGATCCAGGTTTCTGCAATGGTCTTCTTGATATGATCCTAAAATATGCCCTACCTGCGACTCAATTACTCGCCAAAATATCAATCAACATTGGGAAGGAAAACGGAAGAATTTGGCCAAGTGTTAGGATCATTTCATGGTGCGTACTTTACGGGTTCGTATCTTACGTTCTAGACCATGGAAATGCACAAGGAAGGTGGAAGAGTAAAGGGGAAGTGTTTATCGTCAACGTCATGAGGTTGGCTGCACAAATTAAGGTTCCTAGGTGCTCGGTCAAGAAGCCTCAAGTTGCTATGATAAACTGGAAAACTGTCTGTTTTGTGGCCAAGTCTGGAACCCACTTGAGCTGTCATCTTTGGAGGCTTAATCCACACAGCTGGATCATTGTCGATGGAAACTAGGAGTTTGGATTTGAACTACGAGGTCACATGAATAAACGACTGAAGCCAGTTTGGGTCATTGACCCTTAGAAGGCCATGAACGAGGGCTCCTAAGTAACTATGGAGCTTGAGTTGGTTACTTGTGCAGGAAGGCAGCAGCTTGGGAAAGAAGTAATTAGAATTTGTTTTCTTTTTGAGTTGGGATTCTGTTTCCTTGTTATATTAGAAATAGAGTACGATTTCCTTGTTCGTTTGGTAGTAGGAATAGGTTGTAGAAGTATATTTAAAGGGGCATTGAAGCCTCGTGTAAGGGCATGAGTTCTGTGAATAAAAATCGAGACTTGTCTCCCAAAAAGCTTGTGTGTTGGTTGAGTTCCAGCAACGAGTTGCTTCGCATCGATTGAAAACGCATCAATCATGCTCGAGCTTCGCTTCAAACCTTTAGAGGAAGCGGTGCACCTGGCTGTAAAAATCGAGAAGCACCAGAGGGCGGCTTCAGGTAGAAGGTTTTTGGGTTATAAACCTTCCATTGAAAGTACAGCAGAGGTTTCCTCTCACTCCCACAAACAGGGTTTGCCCAAACCTGCGCCGCGGAATGCTTCTACAACAAACACAGAACGCGCAAGCATTTCCAGTGGCGCGATTCAGTGCTTCAAGTGTCACGATCGAGGCCACAAGGCGAATCAATGCCCCAACCTCAAGACATTGATATTGCGTGATGGAGAGTACATCTCAGATGACGAGACGAGCAGCCCAGTCGTGCAGAAAGATTCCTCAGAAGAGGAAGTAGACGAAAAGATCGAGGACGAGCCTGGACCTTTTTGTCAGGAATGATTTTGAGGTCCTTGACGATGGATGGAGAGACCAGCGACGACCAACGGACTAATCTGTTCCACACGAGGTGCCTCGTTGGAGGCCAATGTCTATCGGTGGTCGTCGACGGGGGCAGCTGCACAAACGTGATCAGCCTCGATGCTGTCCAGAAATTGGGATTGGAAACCCTCAAGCATCCCGAGCCATACAGCCTTCATTGGCTCAATGACTAAGGGGCCATCAAGGTTACAAGGCGAGTGCGAGTTAATTTTGAGATTGGCTCATACAAAGACGAGCTTGATTGTGATGTTGCGCCAATGCAGGCAGCACATCTACTGCTTGAGAGGCCTTGGCAGTATGATCGCGCTGTCACCCATGACGGTGGCTCCGATTGCTACCGTTTCCAGCACAATGGCAAGTGCATGTTGCTCAAGCCATTGTCCCCGTCAGAGGTTCGCTCCGATCAACAACATATGGCATCAATGCGAGCTCGAGAGGGAGGAGAAACTAGAGGAGCACGGCGGAGGACAGGACTAGCACGTATGGGATTCATGTTGACTGCTTTGCGGAAGGCCACGACGTCTCGCCCGAACAGGACAGACCAGCCCTAATTTCCGTTCTCGACGCGGCAGGAGAGGAGAAAGAGAGCGAATTGGGTGTAGGACTAGGGAGCGAGTCGGAACAAGTCACCTGCATGACATGATTGATTCTACCCCAAGAACGTGTGAAATCAAACGAATTGGAAAAATCGACTCTGAAATTGAAACGCCCAATTCGACAGAGTTGAGTCAAAACGTGAAGAGCGTCGACCGAGATAAGCCCGATTCGATTGTGGAGAATGGTGTTGAGCCGGCGCAATTGACCACCTGGGTACGATTTCTAAAGTCCCAAGGATGGCGTAAAAGCAAAGAGATCGACTCGAAGGGGCTTGAGTTGATTTTCCCCAATTTCGCATTGGGGTCGCCGGGTTCTAGGATTGCATCGCCGGATTCTGGGAAGTTTGAATTTTCCGACGGTGATAAAATTGCAAACTGCGAATTAAGTGCGATCGGGAGGGTTCCAATGATGCGGTCCCGTGAAGGAAGGTCCTGGATGGCCACTGCATCCGATCGACACATTCAGAGGCTGCGGAATGTGGCGCCTCGACGAATTGCCTACGACAGGGAGTCGCCGGAGTTCAGTTTTCCGGCCACGGGGTTCTCTTTTTACGATCCTTTTTGGGCGTCCTTTGTTGATAATTCTGGATGCCGAACTAAACCAGCTTTAAGGGCAAAGTTTTTTAAAGAAAGGGGGTCTGATATGATCCTAAAATATGCCCTAACTGTGACTCAATTACTCGCCAAAAGATCAATCAACGTTGGGAAGGAAAACGGAAGAATTTGGCTAAGTGTTAGGATCATTTCATGGTGCCTACTTTACGGGTTCGTATCTTACGTTCTAGACCATGGAAATGCACAAGGAAGGTGGAAGAGTAAAGGGGAAGTGTTTATCTTCAACGTCATGAGGTTGGGTGCACAAATTAAGGTTCCTAGGTGCTCGGTCAAGAAGCCTCAAGTTGCTATGAAAAACTGGAAAACTGTCTGTTTTGTGGCCAAGTCTGGAACCCGCTTGAGCTGTCATCTTTGGAGGCTTAATCCACGCAGTTGGATCATTGTCGATCGAAACTGGGAGTTGGGATTTGAACTACGAGGTCACATGAATAAACGACTGAAGCTAGTTTCGGTCGTTGACCCTTGGAAGGCCATGAACGAGGGCTCCAAAGTAGCTATGGAGTTTGAGTTGGTTACTTGTGCAGCAAGGCAGCAGCTTGGGGAAGAAGTAATTAGAATTTGTTTCCTTTTTGAGTTGGGATTCTGTTTCCTTGTTATGTTAGAAATAGAGTACGATTTCCTTGTTCGTTTGGCAGTAGGAATAGGTTGTAGAAGTCTATTAAAAGGGCCTTGAAGCCTCGTGTAAGGGCATGAGTTTTATGAATAAAAATCGAGAATTGTCTCCCAAAAAGCTTGTGTGTTGGTTGAGTTCCAGCAACGAGTTGCTTCGTATCGATTGAAAACGCATCAATCGTGACCGAGCTTCGCTTCAAACCAATCGGGCCTTCGTCCACGTGAAAAATTGCACCTTTGGTCCTCTTTCGCTTTAAGTTTTGATTCAAAATTTCTATCCATTCTTGGGTTGCGCATTCTGTTCAAAACAAGCATCTCCTGTGCTCGTATTACTTCTTCACAAACCAATTTCACCCGTGTCTTCAGATAAGTGTCGGAGGGCCTTTCGGGGGCTAAAGGAAGGGCGACCCATTGCTTCGTAAATGGATTGCAAATCAAGAACAGTCTGCCCGGTTCGCCTAACAACATCTGAAATCCGCACAGAATCAAGTCCTTGAAGCAGTCCCAAATCACGAATCTCGATCGAATTTCGCCAGGCATGGGGAGGAAACTCAGGATCGACGACAGGGGGTCGTCGTCAGGGAGGAGCAGGGGTTGTTCTCGTTCTCGTTCGGTCCTGCTCTAGTAGTGAGAAACGAATCGGCGATTGAAGGAAGGTTTGGAGATCGTGGAGTTCCACAGCTTGTATACTGTTTTGCAGCAGCAGGCGGATCTAGGGTTTGGCAGGCGGATGAAAATTTCTTCGAGGAGATTATCTCCCATTTTGCTGATGGGATGGGCGGGTGTCGTAGTTCCGTCGGAAAATTCTGCTATAGGCTGCTGCCACCGCATCTTATACGACCGATAGCTTTAGTTGATCGCCATGGCCATTGGCCAGTGGAACTACTAGCGGCAGCTGGAATGGATGGTGAATTAGCGAGATGAAGGGGCTGGACGTTTATTTATAGTGGAGGCATGCCGCCGCATTTCCCTTATCATAATTGGGCTTCGGAGGTGGGCCTTGGGTTCCGTGTGCTGGGCCTGCGTCCATGTGGTTGTCTAGCTGGAAATAGTGGGTTGGCACTTGGCCTGGTCCCATATTTTTATAAAGAGCGATGACGGCAATTTGAACCCGTCATGTTGGGTATTGCCTCACCTGACTCGTGATGAGGTGGTTATTACTCGACTCACAGTAGTGTGCGGTGGTGCATGGATATTTACTTCATACCGTCCTGACCCGCCTCGTCCCGTCTATTCTATCTCAATTTCTTGCAATATATATTCACAATTCACGTTTTTTCAACACAACTAGTTAGACTTGATGTTTTAACTAGCAAGACTCATTTAATCATTCTATTATCACTATTTTCATTCATAAAGTGTGTTTTTCTTAATTTTTTCACAAAAAGGTTAAAAGTTCCGTGTATTTTTTTCAAATAATATGTAAAAGTGGGTCAACCTACCCTGCCCATGCAGTGGCGGAGCCACAGCAGCCCAAGGTGGG